ACTATCATTCAGCTCTTCTTTTGCAGCTTTCCACTGAGCACAAGTGGAGAGACATTTGAGTTTTAGCTTTAAGAGAAACTAGAAAAGGGTTTATCTGTGAGGAGATAAAAAAAAAATTACATACCTTGTCCACCAAACTCGAAACCTTTTTATTTGACCTCAATGTGGATGTGGCAGCAACTGTCCGCTTTTTAGTCCGTTTCACTGTTACCAAAGCCAACGACTTGTAAGCCAAACTCAGAGCAAACTACGAATGTAAAAAAGCAATATTCTAAACCAAGATAAGAGAACAATGAAGAATATAACGTGATTCAAAGGATCATACCTTTAGATTGACCCTTTGCTAATAGAGACGATCCACCTGTAACATCTGCAGGTTGCAAAGCAGTGCCCACCATTTCAGCGGAGTCATTGGATTTGGAGCTAGGCTCGACAGTTGTTGAAGAATTGCTTGTGATATTGTAACTGGCAGAACCAACTCCACTGTGATGCAATGATGACTCCACAGTGCTAATGACAGGAAACAGTGGAGCTGCACCTTTGAAATCGTAATAAGCTTCAACGGCATTTGCTGCTGCAGATACAACTTCACTTGTACCAGGAACAGTTTCATAATAAAATGTCGACTGGGGCAGAGAGACTTGAGATCCATCGACATGGCCATAGAACTGAGTGTTAGGAGCTAAAGCAACACCATTGACAATATATTGGTAATTGGACTCTGGGTAGGATAAGTTGTATTGCGCCGCATAATCAGCAGATTGCTGCATATAAGATTGAGGTACGGTATAGGAAACTCCAAGAGAGTCACTGGCCAGAGGTGCAGGGGTATGGCCATTTTCAAGAGGTGGTGGAGGAATTGGTTCACTATAACTGTCTGGTGGCGGTGGAGGAACATCTTCACTCTCAGACGGCGGTGGCGGAATCCATTCCTCACCCGGAGGTGGTGGAACATCTGCATGAATGTTGGATTGCTCTGTTTGACTGACCATCTTACCATCAGAAGCATCTATCACTTGAGTAGACGACGTTGGAACTGAATCTTCAACCTCCATATCCACATCCATGTCAATATCTTCCACAACTGGAGAGCTAGCCTTCTGTAGCATCTCACCTGAAGGAGTAACATCAGACTGCTCAGGTGGATGCCCTCGGGAGTGGGTGGGAGATCTATCCCCATCCACATCAGCCGATTCATCTGAATGAAGAGTTTTTCCAGATTGAGCTAACTCTCCTTCTCTTCCATTGTCCTCGCATTCACTTTCTGTATTAGCATCCGCTACCAACTTTTCTTTGAGAGAGCTTTTGTTAGTTTCTGCAATCTCATCCATTACTGCAGATTTTGCAAGCTCGTAAATTTCATCATTAACACCGTCTTCCAGACGCTTGAGCTGTTTCTCAGTGTGGAGCCAAAAAGAAAGCAAAGGCGAGGTATCCAATATGAGCGCCTTTACATCAGAATGTCTAACTTCAACTTCCAGAATGTACTTTGATATCTTCTCATTGCTGTGAAAGTTCCCATGAGACCTATACATATTTAGAAATTAGAGATAATTATAATCCAAAGGAGATAAGGCAACTATGCTCTCTTTACCTAACAGTATAACACACAAAAAAGAAGACGGAAACTAGAATGACATACTTCTTGAGAGACTTCAGCTTCTCCAGTAAGCCTTCGCTTTGACTCAAAAGGCGAGAAGGGAGGTCAGTTGCAGCTTCTTTATCAAAATTAGCATGCACATGATCTGAATTTCCTGGCCCTGCAAGTTCCTCCTGACATGGTTGGTAATTGACAGCAGAGCCTATCTCACATTCAACTTGATGGCCATTAGTCCCTGAGAATATATTTTGCACTGGTTGCTGCAAATAGCTTGGTTCAACACCAGAAATCAAGGTGGAGGCATCTGTAACCATGGGCCCAGACTCATTGTACCCAGTCCCATATGCACCGGCAGTTTGAGTCAAAACTGCAGGAATTTCCCACGAAGTTTCCCCAGTTTCTGTATTCCAATAGTAATATTGATTGCTCTCCTCATGCAAAATCATCTTCCACTGCGAAGTAACATCTATGGGAGCATGGTGCTCCGAATACACGGGGCCAGATGCTTGAACTGAGGGATCTGTCTGCTTGTTTAGTCCATCAGAGATTGTCGAGTTACTCACTGTGACATAACCACTTTCCCTTTCAGCCATAAAATCCGGTGCAGAAGAATCCTCCCCTGTTTGCTGTTGGTCAACCATCTTCATAGTGGTGTCTGCACCCGATTTGATATTTGTATCTTTGTGTCCATCAACCTGGTTTAAATAAAATTAATCAAGACTAACGGAGACAACATCAATATACCGTTCTATGCACGTTAATTATTATTACCTGCTCTGCTTTATTGGCTAAGGAACTATCTGCAGTGGTATCATCTGCCCTCTTATCCGAATCTTCTTCCACCTCATCATCACTATATTGCCCAAGTAAAAGCAAGGGGTTTACTGTTTTGTGACCTGAAAATAAGAAAACTATAAAGCGTCAAACTTTGGAAGCCCCACTAACTACATTACCTAGACTTCAGTTATAAGAACTGATCAAACGAATAATCGATGGGATGGTAGCATTATAAAGTTAAAAAGGATGGAGAATAGCGTCGGGGAAGATTTATCAGCGACCTGTCACAATAAATGACAAAGCCGTCAGATTAAGCGTTGCAAGCCAAAACAGCCAGAGTCATACGAACCGCTAGGAGCAATTTCCAGAAGAAAGTCCACAGAGAAAGCTTGAAGCTGCAAAATAGAGCAACTCATTGAAAAAAATATCACTGTGGCTTGGCCTGAACTGATTGCCATACGATGTCCCAAAGACCACAGCCACTCTATACTCTGAGAAGAAATTTTGAGGGCAAAACAAGATAATATGTCTTTTTGGAACACAAAACAAGAATTCCCAATTTTGGCACCATTAAGATGTCGAGCACTTATGGAGCTTGGCTACATAGCGGATTTGAAGATAGCTGATGGAACCCACCTGAAGATGAAGGTGAATTGGGTAACTCATTAGTCTCTGTTTGTTCCCGCTCAACTCCATCACGCACATGATCTGTGCCACCCAAATCTCCTACAAAATATCATAGAGATACTTCAAAAACGCAAATCGGGAAATTCTTTGACAAAATCTACTACAGGTAATCAGAATCTTTGTCAGTCTCCAGCTCTACTTATTAACTAGCTTCAGATTGCATCAATAAGGAAACAAAATCGAATTCTTAAGATCGTGAGTGACTCTACAAATCCAACATTCCAATTGATTCAATTCCTTTTTCGGAAAAAAATCCTGATGCTGTTCCAAAAACACGATCGATTTCATCGATCAAAAGAGTATCAATCGAATCGAAAAGGCACCGTAAATTCGATAAGACAAGTGGAAAGAGAAACTTACCAGAGGGTTCCGCAAAGAGATCAAGCTTGACACGACGGCCGGTGTTATTGGCGGCGAAACGACGCTCTTTTCTCTTCCCCATCAGAATTTTCTACTCTCCCTATAACCTTTGTTCTCAGCGAAAGAAGCCAAAAGAAGAACAGAGAAAGTTTCTCGCGTCACCAAAAGTACGAAGAAGATGCAGAAGGAAGAAGAGAACCGAGTGTCGAGGGTTAAAAAACTTTATAACTGATAAAACGACAACGTTTTTTGCTATAGCCGGCCTTAGACGTCGTGCCGTTTTTTTGTCGGGTTAACTGTGCAATTCGTGCCGTTTAATAAAATACTTGTACGGTTATAACCCAATCCAAATTGAGTCCGGTCCATTGCACATCTTTGA